ATAGACCCATCAGATAGGCTGGTATAACTTACATAGACCCATCAGATAGGCTGGTATAACTTACATAGACCCATCAGATAGGCTGGTATAACTTACATAGACCCATCAGATAGGTTGGTATTAATAACATATACCCATCAGATAGGCTGGTATTAATTACATATACCCATCAGATAGGCTGGTATAAGTTACATATACACATCAGATAGGCTGGTATAAGTTACATATACCCATCAGATAGGCTGGTATAAGTTACATATACCCATCAGATAGGCTGGTATAACTTACATAGACCCATCAGATAGGCTGGTATTAATTACATATACCCATCAGATAGGCTGGTATAACTTACATAGACCCATCAGATAGGCTGGTATTTATAAATAAATGAAACATTTGATTTTGTTAATACTTTAGTGATAGTAATGGAGAACGTATAATAATACTCTACATTGATATCAAGTTCAACCTCCTTACAATAAGCCTTCTGTAAACCAAGATTTTTGTTCAAGTCAACAAATATTTTCATTTTGTTTAGACATTGTTGAATACCTTGCGTAAAAGCTCTAATTTCTTTTTGGCTCGTCTCTACGGTTTAATTTCTGATACGTGGACATTTCCACTACTCAGACCTGTAGTCTCGCTGTTCTATTATTGGCCCTCTATTACAAAAAGTATTTCTATATCAATAGTGTGGGCCATTGCACTTCTTTTGCAATTCAACTTAATCTATCTTTTTCTTCTTTTTTTTTTAGAATGCAAAGCGGATATCAACGGTGGGCGAGCGACGTTCCTTCTTCCGTTAGACAACATCTACGCCTGTGGCACAATCAGAGTCCTTAATAAGATAACGGTAACTGCTCAATTTTTCAGGAAAGACATGCAATATTACATTTTTAAATTGGATTTAGATAAAACTTGTGTGTGTTAGATGGAGATTGGTTGATGGAAGTACAAGTCAGGGTATCATTTATCGTAAAGAAAAGACAGAGAAAGTACTAGATATTCTTAAAAAATACATATGCACATTATATTTATGTTAAAACAAAGAATTGTCATTACAATCCATACACAATGACGACCAGTATGTAAACAGACATCCCGAGGATACAAACTGAACATCTCCATGATGTCATATGCAAATACCTTTGACTTACAGTCCAGTAAGGATCATATAATCCAAACAGTTATGCCACGAACGAAAATATTCCATTAGTTAACAGTATTTTCACGAACTCCGATAATCTGGTGATGATAGGTGGTCAGGATCAGAGATAATCGCACTGTTTGTTGTCCACATTGGATAGGATGGTAAAGGTCAGAGAAAATCGTACTGTTTGTTGTCCACATTGGATAGGATGGTCAGGATCAGAGGAAATCGCACTGTTTGTTGTCCACACTGGATATGGTGGTCAGGTCAGAGAAAATCGTACTGTTTGTTGTCCACATTGGATATGGTGGTCGGGGTCAGAGAAAATCGCACTGCTTGTTGTCCACATTGGATAGGATGGTAAGGGTCAGAGAAAATAGTACTGCTTGTTGTCCACATTGGATATGGTTGTCAGGGTCAGAGAAAATCGTACTGTTTGTTGTCCACATTCGATATGGTGGTCAGGATCAAAGAAAATCGTATTGCTTGTTGTCCACACTGGATATGGTGGTCAGGGTCAGAGAAAATCGCACTGCTTGTTGTCCACATTCGATATGGTGGCAATCCATTTGTAGAGAGATCGGAAAACAACAGTTTCATCACGACTCGGATAATGGAGAATGATCCAGGTGAAACGGTTGCTACTGTTACAGGACAAGGTCAGTTGTTACCCAGTATAACCAGACGTTGTCCATGTAACAGGGGCTACAATGGAAGAGTAGCCAGACGAAATCACTCTTTACTCCACCAGAATCATACATCGACAGCAGTGGAGTTACTGATGCTGTCACACTCTCCTGGACAACAAAGGAGTTACTGATGCTGTCACACTCTCCTGGACAACAGAGGAGTTACTGATGCTGTCACACTCACCTGGACAACAGTGGAGTTACTGATGCTGTCACACTCTCCTGGACAACAGTGGAGTTACTGATGTTATCACACTCTCCTGGACAACAGATAAGTTACTGATGTTGTCACGCTCTCCTGCAAAACAGAGGAGTTACTGATGCTGTCACACTCACCTGGACAACAGAGAAGTTACTGATGTTGTCACGCTCACCTGCAAAACAGAGGAGTTACTGATGCTGTCACACTCTCCCGGACAACAGAGGAGTTACTGATGCCGTCACACTCTCCTGGACAACAGAGGAGTTACTGATGCCGTCACACTCTCCTGGACAACAGAGGAGTTACTGATGCTGTCACACTCTCCTGGACAACAGAGGAGTTACTGATGTTATCACACTCTCCTGGACAACAGTGGAGTTACTGATGCTGTCACACTCTTCCGGACAACAGAGGAGTTACTGATGCTGTCACACTTTCCTGTATTGTGAAACGTCTACAAGTCAGGACACGATATCGTGTGCATGCCATTAGATCAGCTCGACAATCACTGACACTTAACACAATACAATCCTCGTGTATTTAACAATATCCACGCTACCAGAAAAAGCAGTGATTTCACGCAAGGTGGAGGTCCTACTTATTCAACCCCAGTCACAACACCTTTGACTCGAAGGTCAGACAATTATCGATTTCTCACCGTCAAGCCAATCATCGAGTGTCAACCCTATCGAGTATACCAAATCCATCCTTGATCATTCCCAGCGAAAGTTTCCCAAACCGCCAGTTTCTAGGGAATCCTCATTCGTCGCCAGGAGTTGGATACTATCGCACAGCCCCAGATGTCAGCTCTTGTAAATACGATGTTTAACCATGTTTTCCCCCTTATATATTGCAAAAGGCAGATTCATTTAATACTAAAGTATTTAAACTTTGTTTATTTAACATGGTTGCATTTTTTTTAATTATTTATTTTGGTGGACTGTGTAAAATTTCACAAATCAGTGTATTAAACTGAACTCTGATTTGTGGTTCTTCCTTACTTGTCAGGAACTTAACTTATCATATTACTGTTTTAAGATCTGACAAAGATATTCTGCTAATGTTCAAGACAATTTGAAATGAGTAAGATAAATCATGAAAGCTAACTGTTGATTATTTCCATTTTTCGTCAACAGGGGGAGAAGATTTTCTACCACCGAGTTATTGTTGAGTACCCGAAGAACCCTAAAGAAGTGATTTTAGTGAAATGTGTTATACCTGGTGAACCTCGAGGATATACCTTTCAAAATAGGACCAGAAGGAATGTCTTACCTGAGAACTTCTCTGAACCAGAGTAAGATAATGCTCACCCAAAATTTGGTTAATCACCAGTTTTATCCTGAAATTATAATATGTTAACTAATTTATCAATGTATTCTGGACGCAGGTTAACCCTAACTCTGTAGATTTCTTAGTTGGAGAACTGGGTTCGAATCCATGCTATACTAAAAATAGTTCTCGAATTTTAAGCTTTTGGAGCGTTATAAGAATGACAGTCAGTCCTTTATTGTGGATGGTGAGCGGTAGGGTTCTGCTATCTGGCTGATTTTCCTCCGGTCAGTAGATCAAAATTAGAAAGAGAAGTTCCTTTGCCATTAATTCAAAATACAAATACGAGTACAATGTATCGTAAAGCAAGAATAATTATTCATTAAACATTATTACTATTCGTACAGTTTAATATATCGCATGAACGTCAGATCATGACAGAAGAACTTATTTCAATAAGAGTATTCGAAAGCCTAATTTAACAAGAACGTCAAATCCCGTGTGTCTATCCTTCTATGTGGTGGATATTTTATTTGACGAAACGTTTATTTTCTACTTGGCGTATAGTATGCTGGGAGTTGTGTCGTTTACAGTTTTGTAAGTAAGGCATTGATGTATCTTCTGGTACACGTTCTGATAAAAATACCAACTGCTTCATTAAAGATCAAACATAACAGTCCAGACTTGAGCTGTTGGTAGATAGGTTAGGACGTTTCACTAGGAAATATCAAACATAACAGTCCAGACTTGAGCAGAAAAATATTTTTGGAAGTTATATAACTAAGTAAATAAGTGGGGAACATTTAAGTAACACATCTCATGTATCGGGTAACATTATTTTGGTTACCAACTGGCATGACTGATTATGTGGCTGATCGCATGAATAACGATGATACTAACCTATCAATATAACGACGATATTAACCTATAAATATAAGGATGATACTAACCTATCAATATAACGATGATACTAACTAAGGGTTGACGATGAGCGAGTTAATTTCGAGTTGACGTAGGTATAATTCACTTGAGAGGGAGCTAGCTAGCC